TTCTAATACACTAAGCACAGCTGACTTCAAAATTCAAACCATAATGCTGTTAAACTTTTTCTTCAGTGAATAATTACTGATGCCTGAATATTTACTTTAAGGGGGGAAATCTAAACACTGCATGAAATCTTGCAAGTTATAATTTGTCATGTTAAAGAAAAGTTTTGTAATACCCCAAGAAGTAGATTACTTGCAGACGTTTTTATTCCTGAATAAAATGCAATTCTTCATGCTCATCTAGCACTGTTGTGGGAAAGAAAAAAGAGGCAGACTAATCATAGAAATACACAGAAGATACTAGTTTGCTTTTTACATACAAGCTCCACCCATGAATAGATTAGTAATCGGTATCTTAATCTATGCCAGCTCATCGTATATTGTACTTCAAAGAGCTGCATGCAACTTTTTCACAATCAACAATTCTGACAATCAGAAGTAAAATCCCATTGTTTCAAATTAAACTGTTAAAAACTAAGCCAAGAATTTCTCAGTCCCAATGCTCCCACTTTGGGGTTTTTTTCTGTCCTTTAGATGGATTTTCTACCTTCCCATATAGAGGATACAAATCCTACAGCTATTTTCAAAACTGTGATATTTATCAAGAAATATTTGAAAAAAATATTCAGGAAGTAGTATTCCATAATGAAGCATTAATAGGACAAACCCCTCTAAGAATGCTATAGACTATATATATAAACAGATTATGTCTAGAAAACTGGGTTAGGGAAGTATATGAATTACCCATTTAAACTGTAAAATATCATTCATATTTAGGCTTATAAACACAAGAGTTGGGAACTATTGAGTTCTTTTGGCTAAAACCCAATATTGGCCTTATTTCAGTTTAATTGGAAGAGGATCTTGAATTCATCTTCTCCATGAGATATCAGGAACCTGGATTTCTGTTTGTACCAAAGGTTAATAAGAAATGTGTCTGCAAAAGTCAAACAGCATTAAATACCAAAAACTGATTATTATTCTGCGGGAGTTGTTCTGTCATTCATAATCTCTCCATGCTCCAACCTTCCACAGCTAATCTTTAATGGATGACATGCAGGAAAGAAAAATAACATCTAAAAAGGGACTCTAAAGTGAGTTTTGAAGAAATGGAAAATACTTTTCTTCTGTACTGGAAGTTATTGCCACCCAAAGTTTATTACTGGCAAGATTACTTATTTCCTCTTACTTTATGGGATATTAAATCAAATTAACTCTCAGGTAATAGCTACTTGATATTTGTTTTTACTTTTGCTATTAAAACTATTGCATATGCATGTTCAGTAATTATTTTTTGAGTCAATTTAGGAAGCTTTCATGAAAATTTCCATACCATATTCAAGAATTCCAAAATACTACAAATGCAAATTCACAACATTTTCATAAAAACAGACCTGAAATAGAGACTTCATTGTAGGTACATTGCCATAGCTTCCAAGAGACTGAAAGCTGAATAACATGTACCACCACATTAGAAGTACTGCTTTGCCCTTTTTCCTCAATATATTTTCTATCATTATCATTTCAGAGAGCATCTGCAGAATGCTAATACAGTTTTCAGGCACTAAAGGTAGTGTGCAACATCTAACAGGGCTGGACTCAATCCTCCTGATATGACCTTGATTAAAAAAGTAATAAATTCTGTTAACATTCTTATTAGAAACTAACACAAAAAACTCCCAACTCCACAGAATAGCCATTGCTACAGAAAGATTTAAGGATAAACATTTTTTAATTATATTTTCATTTAGAATTATTCTTAGTCTCAATATATACCATGACAGCAACATGTGACAGTAATGGCAGGAGTTACTATGAGAAGACCAGGGCTTTGATATTTTTTCCAGTCTGGAGAGGCTATCACTATGCTCTATAATTCTTCCTTACAGTCAACCAGCTCTTTCCTCTAAAGCTTCCCATATATCCCCTATTTTATTCTTCTGTTAGGAAAAAATGCAGTCACTTATCATGTCCATCCAAAGTGGGATCTGTTCTCTCTTCTGGTTCTTTTGAAGACTTACTCCTTTGCAATGTATCCATCTTTGTCTTTCAGTCTGTCCTTGGAAGATGTATGTTTCTCCCTTTCTCCTCCCACAGGGGGGCACCCATTCCTTTTCTGTTCAACATATTAAAGTTCTGCAGTTCCCAAATTTCAAGATTTGTCTATTCTTCATACCCAGTTCATATGCGATGTTTCCTTTTTTCCTTACATTATCGTGGTTTCTGCTCTTTTATGATACGCTCTTCCCTTGATTTTCCTGATGTTGCTTCTACCTCTATTCTTCTTGATGATGGGGAGTGAAACTAATGGTACACTAATGGACAGTGGCTTATAATGACACAAAATCCAACAGAATAATAATGAAGAAACTGCAGGAATTTATGGCAACTATGACCCCCCTATGAAACATTGGTATCCAGTGCTTAGAAGTCTGCAACCGAAACTGTAAATTTCCTAATTTTCTTTAGCCATAATTAGCTGACATAGAGATATGGACCCAAGGAAGTTTTAAAATCCATTTTCCAGGCTAGTAAAATTTAGAAATAAACACCTTCTGAAAATAATTTCTTTACTGCACACAGTAGTATACTTTCTCTTCCATCATGTATATCTTCTGCTTTAATTCTACTTTTTCTTCTTTCATGAAGTATTTCACAAATTTACAATTCTTCTCTTCCCTTTTTTCTCTGAACAAAGTAAAAATCATAAAGGGACAATCTTCAGATTATTTGCTTCTGAAAGCTGCAGTAGCTTCATTTAAAAATGGCTTTTGTCTTTAGCTTTTCTGTTCTTTCAATGGTACTTGTTTAGGTAAAACCCATCAATTAGGAGGTTACCTTTTAAAACAGAATTGTAATACTCCTCAAGGTAGATAACACTTTTATGGTGTACCTTTCTGATGTTCTTTACAATATAATTTTGTGGAGTCACTTACTTATCATAAAGTCAGTACTAAGTAATAATAAAAATGCAAACACCCATATTTACAAGCTTCACTCCACCATGTGTTATACACGGCAGTAATTAAACATTAACTAGTAACATGAAATCACAGCAGTATGCGTTCTCCCTTCCTCAAAGAACTTAACATAAGGGGAAAAGTTTTTCCTTAAACACAGTCTCTTCTTTATTATTCTGCTTGTCCATTAGAACTCTGGCCAAGGCTTTTATGAGAGAGAGACACACAGACCTCCAGAAATTCGATTTGGTTCACACCATTCCAGATTTCAAAACATTTATCCATACTTGGTAACATTCTTAGAACTGTAAGACAGGAAGCAAAAAACTGTGAAATATTAACAATGCTTCCTTTTGGCAAACAGTTTAAGTAGTAAGGAGCCTCTTGCCCTCTCTCAGCATTTAAAGGATTTTATACTTCCTGTACTCATAAAAAGAGAAAAAAAGTCTATTTTGTAAAGGTCATCCTTATTACACACTGTAGCTCTCTTTAAAATTTGGTTTATTCTTACTTTTAAAACAGAATAAGTATGTTAAATTCTTATATCCATATTCATGCCATACTATTTTGAAGAAACAAATATGCTTAGGACATAATTAGAATGTTTGAACAGTAGTGTAGGAAAACAACAATTTACTAACAAGTATTTCCACTCTATCCATAAAAATGAAACTAAACATGTTTTTGACACACCTTTCTTTCCAGGTTTTAATGAGCAATGGACACCCATATCAAAGAGAATCAAGTACAGAGGTAAAACACTGGGCAAATATCCAGGAACAAACATGAAACTTCAGATCCAACTCAAATCATTTGCATTAGCCTTTGGTTGCTGGATATAACAATGATACATAGTGTCGATTTTTTTTTCTTACGAAAATAAAGCAAGCAGTTATGTGAAATTGAGTAAGAATAAAATTATGCCTGTATTTAATTTTTTTCCTAAGATGTCAATTAGATTTTCCTTTCCCTTCCCCCACCACAGAAAATCTAGAGGCCGTCTCTTCTATCTATAATATTCACAGTATACTGTATTCTCAGGAGTTTGATATTAAGTGGAAAGTCAGCCATCTGTTTTTCAGCTAGAGGGTTTAAAATCTGCTCCCTTTTCCTGAAGACAGTTACTCCTCCCTTCACTTTGGAGACAGGTATTAGTACTATTAATACACTATGAAGTGTGTAAGATCTATTAGAAAACTTTTTTACCAAGCTCACACTTTGTTTCTCAACAAATGATGCAATGCATTTATAAAAGCACTCTCATTCATTTTTTTTAAACACTTTCAGAAAAACCTTAGAGCATTTTTCATCCACTAGGTACACTGTACATACAGCCACTTCTCAATAATAAAAATACTCAGCTTCACTATGTTAGCAATACGTGAAAGCATAGAATACAAGCTGTCTCCATGCCTGTATGTCTCCCCAAAGAACAATTAACAACAAATATAAGCATGCATTCACTTTCAGCTCTAAACTTAAAAACCTTTCCTTTTGAGAATTCATATAAACTTCATTCACTGGAGACATACCATCATTTGACGAAAATTCATTATAACTACCAAAAGAGCATATTTTTCAAGAACAGGTTTTTCAAGAACAGTGCAGGTCTCTAGTTGAGGTGAATGTGTGACTATCTCCATGCACGGGGAGGGGGTAGTATTGCTCTGAACGAGCTAAAACAATAAGTGGTATTTGAACTGCTGGTTGAAAGGTAGAGGCACTGGTAATCATTATTTCCCCTTGTTTGTTCAGGACCTTCCAACAAAACAAACAACCTTTTTGTGATTGGATTGACATGGTGTTAACAATGCATTTAATGCCCAAATCAGTATGAATACAGGTAAAGCTCCTACTAATACCAGTACCAGGATGTTAAAGCCACCTATTTTCTAAGCAACTCTAAACAGCCACATATAAAAAAAAAAGTCAAATCTTCCCTCCTTTAGCAAATAAAGCTAACACTCACTAGGCCACGTCATATAGCAACCACAGGTACTGCATGAGCCATACAACCATCTGTTAAACGCTTGCCTACTGTACCTGCAATCTTTTCTGCAATCTTAGCTTCTGTAGCTTTCTCTTGCAGTTCTAAGTCCAGTTTCATTGTCTTCAGCTCCTTGTCTTTTTCAGTCAGATTATCTTGAAGCTGAATTGAACAAATGTACAGTAAGATTCCTACCTGGTTGAAACAGCTCTTTTAACCACAACAGAATTGTAAATAATAATAATTTCTTACTCCCAAAATACAAACACTAAGCATTACAAAAGAAGTTCAATTTATATATATTTATTTGTTTAAAGAACAAATGTTAAAAAATCTTTTTTAACATCTGACCTATCTTGCTCTGTGAGACAAGTAGCAATGAGCATGCTGTTGTTTTTACTTGGGATTCTCTTCTTCAGGTATCTCCAGTCTTCTTGCTAAGGAAGTTCAGAATTAGATGGAATATAATGCAGGTGGTGTCTGCATGAACAGTCCATTTCCTACCACGAGTACTGCCATCACAGCATGAAGAGACTGTGGCGTAAATACATAATTTTTCATGTTCATCATCAGATACAAAACTGTTATTCTTTCATGTATTGAGGCCTTTCTTTTAAGTGGTTATTCACTAAACCTGTTCTTGGAGAGATATCTGAACTTGCCATTAAATTTTCAATGACACTTCATGGAAAGACTATGGACTGTTATGTTGTTTAGGTGCATACAACCACAACTAATGCTAGAAGCAATGTAGTGTGCAAGTAGGATGGACTTGTCTTCCTCTCAGGGCACATTCGTTATCTGGGCCACACGTAAAGAAGTATCAGAAGCATGAGCTCCAGATTCTAATCATGAAGCCCTGGTTTTGTCTTTGGTCCTCCTTGTTTTTCATCCAGGGTTTAAGAACGTATGTCACTGATTAAAAAAATCAGAGGGTAGGTTGAAAGGTGTTTTTTTTAATTCCAGAGAAATGGTTGTTAAACAGATACTAAGAATCCAAAATGTTAGGAAGCTAGTGGTTAGTACTCTAAAATAAATAACAAAACTAAATCAGGAACAGTTTAAAATGTACGTTTGGTAAAGCAACCATAAGAAAGCAAATACTGTGATCTGAACATCTCAATTGTACCTTTTTATTTTTGGCCCTCAGCGTGTCCAATTCTTTTAAAAGGAATGCAGTTTCTGTTCTTCCACCTAAATCTGAAGAATCCTTCCATGAGGGTATAAATTCAGGGAGCATTCTGTTAGCCTTTCTTTCTACAGTGCTGTATTTAGGAAGGAAAAAAAAAAAAGAGAGAGAAAGAAAAATAACTTCTATATACTACTGCCCAGACATTATAAAATGCAAGCATTTCTTGTGCATTTTCCATGTTCAAGAGATGCCTCCATGACCAAGTTTAAATATAATTTATCATCATCTTAAACTGAAATGTTTTCTTTCCTCAAATTATTTTTTTCCTTTCTCCTTAGAAGAAAAAATTACAAATCACATTGGTGGTACACCAAGACCAGAATCTACAATGCAAATCAACACTGACTCAACATTTCTGAGGTTTTTCTATATCTAGATATTTTATCATATATTCTAATTAAAATATATTTGGGGAAGGACAGATTTTGTGCAATTTATATAGTATCTACCATAATGAGGTTTTGGCACACAGCTTTAGGATCCTCCATGTAACATACTTGCAGATGAGATGGTTTAACATGTTGACTGCTGTGTGAGGTTAATCTCAGTGTTGAAGACCAGCCTGATTGCCAGTGAGAGTGGCACTGGTGAAGGGTAGGAGCAACAATCTTTGGCTGACTCCATGCTGGGCTGTACTTAAGCACTTGGGATTATATCTGGCTTTTAGTGGAGGACACATTGCCCTACTGGCATATCTCAGTCCCTCATGCAAAAAAAAGGCAAAAAGACAATTGAAAACGTACTGTGGATTGGGTTTGGCCCAATAAAACACCACCAGTTCATAATAAAGATAACAAAAGCAGGTGTTGAATCTGCTAGACAGCTGAGGAATTAGTATATTTTTCAAAAGTACATAATAGGGCTTTGCAGCCTTGTTCCCATTTTCAAAAGCATCTCCACCACTTTCAGTTTAGACTTGGTCTGCAGAATGCCTAAGTCACTCAAGACTGGTAGCATTTTCCCTAGTCAGATAATTATACCTTGTATATTATGTTACATATAAAACGAGTGTATGTATTTCTCAAGACCGCAGTAGAAGGCCATTGCACAGTACAAAAATTAACTGCAAGAAATGACCGAAGTTATTAACAGAATAATATGTTCAGAGTTTATATTAAACTTTTCAACCATATTTGCTTTTCTCCAGATTCCTGTCACAGACTGCTACAAAGTATCACAGTTCCTCATATTCACTCTTCCAACTTCATCTGGACTTCACACTATTTTATTCCTGCTTTCTACCCACTTATCCCATTTAGGGTACACTGTGCTTGTTGTGTAAAACCACAGATGCTATTAGACTTTTAAATCTGTTTTTATTCTTTTCAGGATGCATTTTTAAAATCCTCTGTAGAGAACACAATCATTGAAATACTCACAGTGTGTGATATAAACCATTGCAATTATCAAATTTTCTATGAGTGCAAGAGAATACAGTAGTGAAAAGCTGCATTCCACAAGGGAAGAAGGGCAGATATGGTGAGTCTAAGTAAAAAGTTGACTTACTGATTCTTATGTAGGTAGCAAACTTCCCTATCTTTATCCAAAAATCCATATGTATACTGTCTATAATTTGAATGTAGAAAAACTACATATAGGGATATTTCTTGGGTTTACCTTGATTCTTCAGGACCAGAACTATAATCATTTACGACTCCTCCTCTTTGACTCTTTACTGGCAAATCTGAAGGTTTTGGTGCTTCAGGGTCTGTCTGAATGAAAAATTCTGGAGTTTTTTGAGAATTCTGATAAAATTGAAGTCCAAGGCAAACGTCTTCTTTTTTATGTTCCAAGATGTGTGTTTCTAATTGGAAAAAGAAGCAAACACATTTTCTCATTTGGAAAATGAAGCAAAACTTGAGATTTCTCATTCAAAAATGGCTTGCTATATTCATATTCTTCTTTGCAGCAGAAAGGAACAAGTAATTTACTTTCAGATTCCAAGCCTCTTCTTCCCACTCAGGAACTAGAGTTGTGTTACTGACAGCATGGCTGTAGGACTTACAACCTATTTCCTGGATTTTTCTCATGGAAACATGAAAAATTAATCACCATTTCCTAATCCTCTTTCCCTTAAATGACTGCTTAAAATAATGCTGACCGCAGAAAATTATTTACCTATCTTTCGTAAAAATCAGCTCTACCATAGTAAGACATGATGAATTTCTGCTATGGAGAGAGAAATTTTCGGGTTATTAACTAGACTCTTACTTATAGTGAGGTCTCCTTCAAATCCATTTTGGTTACAAAAGGAGTGTCATCAAGCTGTAATTAGCAACAACAAATTTAAGGCCACATTATTCATTCCTGTAGAGTGTGAGGCACAGGCTCATACAACTGAGGAACCTGAAGAATGCAAAACAGAAATTGTGCCAAAGAGGAAATTTATCTGATTAAAATGTTGAGTGATAGTTAGTTCTCTTAAGCTTGGCTACTAGATATTTTTAGGACATATTTCTGATATCAAGGTATTTAAATGAAAGAAAGATCGACATACCACAAACGTTCTTTCATAAAGTAAGAACAAGTAAGTTTTAATTATAGAACTATATTAAAAATGAGAAGGAATCAGCCTAAAAAAAAAAAAAAAACCGCAAATGGAAAAAAGGTGCATATATTCTTCATTTTTTCATTTAGATTTGTAGAGAACAAACATTGGAGCTTTTGCTTGTTTAATAAAGTTAGTGTTTCCAAACATTTTGGATAAATTATATGGTATACATTCTCTGATCAATCTTATAATATCCTCTTCAAAAATAATAAGAAACTGTTTATACAGTTGAAATCAAGTAGAAATAGCCCAAAAATACACATCAATCAGTATCAAGGTGTCATGCTTCACGTAAAAAATACCAAAGATCGTCTCTAAAATCTGTAGCAATAGATTCCTTTCTCCTTAAAGAAGTTAAGACACAGTCAATGGTACAGGAAATAGCCCTAGGGCACTGAGAGATGAATTGTGAATTGGTTGGAGTCAGTTTAACAAGTTCCACTAAAAAGCTGCGTGTCAACTAACTTGAGGAAAAAGTTATGGTACCCACTGCTCACCCATATTCTCCTCATTCACTTCAGCACAAACTTACTTGAATCCACTCTTACCATTCCTGTAAACTACAACCACTGATTATTGCACTAGAGAAACAACAGTCAAAAGCATATCAGAATCTTTGTTTCTGGGCACTAATAAACATGTGGGGACCATAACCTGATAAAACATTTGTAAATAGGTATAGCACCGCTTTCAGCACTGTAATTGAAATGTGCTCCTCATACCATTTCACAGCTAATGCAGAATTTGAACATGGGCCACAGCTACCTGGATTCTTTGAACAAATGTACACTGTTTCCACTGGCTTGAAATCCTGCAGATTTTTGGGCAGAGATTTCCTCTGAAGTGTTGCTACCTCTAAAACTGGATCTGACCTCTTGCTCCTCCTTATAGTAAGGAGCAAGGATCTCTGAAGAAACATAGGTTAAAAAAGAGATCACCAAACATATTACTCTAAGAACCTGCCCCAACTTGGGAGTGACAACACATAAGGGGAAAATTTGGAATCCTCTTCAGTTAGTACTATCTGAAAAGTAACCTAGTCTGAATTTCCATACTTGCAAAGCTTTTTATAGGGAGGAGTACACTTGGTTGAGATGTGTTTTCTGTTTTATTTATATTATAAAGAATTTGGAGAAGAGCCTCACCCAGATCGATACACAAAACTTCCCAGGTCACACCAACAGCATCACTACTGCCTACATGGAAGAGCAGCTGGGGGTAAGAGGGTCAGATAAGCATCAGGAGCCTTTCTATAACATCCTGAACACAAGCTGCCAAAAAGAAGCAAAGCTCTCTAGAGGACTAGTCGAGTCAGTAGATAGATTTTTATTTTTATTTTTAAAATCAGAAGTAAGCATGTCCTCATGAGGAGGTAAACATCTGCATTAGCATCTGCACTTCAGGGTAAATCCTTAGGCCATGTCAAGGTATGGGGTTTTATGCCTTTAACTGTAAGTTACTGCAGCTTAAAAAAATAATTTAGAATAGGACTAGATCTGTGTTGGTATTTATTAATGCTAATGCTGCTTCTTTAAGCAGTGTACATTTGCAGCACACCTTATCACCCAGATTCAATTCCCTCAAGCACATGGGTAAGACTAAGTAGCATCACAGCAAGCCTGTAAGTGGCATTCCTGGAAATGTTAGGCGAAACACAGAGGATATGTTTTTTATCTACTGATTTTGTATGAGAGAAGATGATGGCAGCCTCCTCCACTCAGAATTGGAAGCACTCTGCTCAAGGGCATTAAGGTGAGAATGTTTTACTCATTTAATAAAGCTGCAATGGTTTGGGGGGTTTTGTTTGCTTGGTTTTTTTGGTTGGTTGGTTGGTTTGGGTTTTTTGTTTGTTTGTTTGGTTTGTGTTTGGTTTTTTTGTTTTGTTTGTTGTCGGTTTTTTGTTTTGTTTTGTTTTTTTGTTTTTGGTTTTTGGTTTTTTTCTGTTACCATGCTAAATTTGTCAGTAGAATGCTTTGGGGAGGACATTTTGAACACTGTCAGATCAGTCGGCATAGCGATTTTTTTTTTTTTTTTTAACCACTTTATTCTGCATATAGCCCATTACCTCCATGGTAAATTAAGTGGCAATTTTAATCAATGCACTTCAGTGCTTTTCCTCATGCCTCCTGCAAATTGTCTTATGCACTAATTACCAATGCTGCAGACACACACTGGGGAGTAAGTAGCATTTGCAGTAATTAGGCTGTACAGAGAATATCAGAGAAAGTGTAAAACAGCCATGCAAACTTTGGAAAAAAAAATCATGTAGATTTCATTAAGTGGTATCACCACCACTGATTCTGGTTCTTGAGTATACCAAACAACTTATTTTCCATATAAAATAGCAAGTTCAGTTGCTCAGATTAATATTTCACTATAGGGAGAAGCTGAACAGCTGATCTTCTGTATGTATTTATCTTGAATGAATAGATTGTTCACATTGAGGGAAAGAAAAGCAAATGTTAGGAAGAAGGAATATAAAGACACCAGAATTAAATCTGGGAATTGATTGTGAGGGACATAAGGGGAAGATAATGCTGTCATGGCTTGAAACAGTATAGGTAGAACAGAATTCACTGTTGTTAAGCTGAGAATGGTTAAAAAGTCAAGTAAAAACACTGAACCTATCACACTGTGCAGGCACACAATATTTCTTATAGCTGCTTCTAAGAAGTGAGGGATTGGCACCAAGATCAGGGAAAGTACAGCATTAGAGAATCCTGTACCAAGTGACTGTGCAATCAACACAATCACAGCAGTGATACAACAGTGATACAAGTGATACAACAGTGATAAGTGCACAGAAGGTGTAGATTCAACTGGAAGACTAAGGAGGCAGTAGCTTTCCTTGTTTGACCACTCAGCATACTCAGCAGTCCCATCATCCAGCAGAATCCGGGTGGGCACCTCCTTCTCCCTGCTTGTAGTCTTTCAGCACCCCACTAGCCAAATTGTACCGATCAGATCAGAGGTTTGCAGGGGATCTCCACGGAATAGGAGTAAGGGAAAACAAATAAAATGCAACAGAACATGCACACAGCACCTCATAACACAGGACTGGCTAAAGATTTGCCTGCGGATGAGCACGGGGACATTGGAAGCCCCAGGTGCATCAAATCAGCTTCAAGCGTAATAGTACTTACTCCTTGTTACCTATAGCTTACTGGTATTTGTTTTAAGCTGGTCTGTGGCACAGACATAGTATGTTCTCATCTGTCTGAGAAAGACTGCATGAGTGAACACCCAGAGGGATGGCAGTAAGAGGCATACTAGGAAAAAGAGCAAAAGCAGGAAGGAAAAGAATGAGCTTGAGCAAAGCTGACTTAGTAGCTATTACACCGTAACACTTTCAGATTAAAAATGTGAAAAAAAGTAGAACAAAACTCTGCTATATTTGAGAAAGTGCAATGTCAATTACTAAAAGCCTTCAAAATTCAGTGATTAACAAACTATAATTTACTGTTAATCACAGAATCATAGTTTGGGTTGGAAGGGACAGTTTGGGTTGGAAGGGACCCTAAAGATCATCTAGTTTCAACCCCCTGCCATAGGCAGGGATGTCCCCCACTGGATCACGTTGCTCAATGCCCCATCCAACTCTGGAAGTGGCTAAACTTCCAGACTGGGCATCCATTGATTTTCTGGGCAACCTGGTCCACTGCCTCACCACCCTCTGCGTAAAGAATTTCTTCCTAATATCTAAACCTAAATCTCTACTCTTTTAGTTTAACACTGTTCCTCCTTGTCCTATCATAGCTGCCTATGTAAAAAGTTGCTCCCCCTCTTTTTTTATAAGCCCCCTTCAAGTACTGGAAGGTTGCAATGAGGTCTTCCCAGAGTCCTCTTTCTCAAGGCTGAACAACCCCATTTCTCTCAGCCTGACCTCACAGGAGATGTTCTCCAGCCCTCTGATCATCTTCCTGGCCTCCTCTGGACATGCTGCAACAGGTTCACATCTTTCTTGTACTAGGGACCCCAGACCTGGATGCAGCACTCTCTCTGAGGTCTCACAAGGCAGAATGAAGGGGTAGAATCATTTCCCCCCTGGCCACACTTCTTTTGATGCAGCCCAGGATGGAATTGTCCATCTGGGTTGCAATCATATGGGGCTTTTTTCTCAGTCTAAACAACAACACAGCTTCAATACCAATGGAGTTTTTTTGTGTTTGTGCAATACCAAAAATTTTGAATTTTAAACAAGAGGGAATATTCCCTATGCAAAAAAACTATCAAAGCAAAGAGACGCTGGCCCT